ATTACAACAAAACATAATAAAAAAACATATAATAATTTATTTATTTTACTCCTTTAAAAAACATTTTAAATAAAGATTAGGGTTTGTTTAATTGATATGATGTTTTTAGAAGTGTAATATTAAATTATATTTTAGTAATATAGATTTTATTTATTGGAGTATTAATTTATTTTTATATATTTTATAAATAATTATACCGATGGAAAACTTTTGTAATTTAATACATTATGATTTGAATTTTTGATGAATAAAAATATGAAAGAATTTGATAAATAAATTGTGTTTGCGTTAAATTAAGATTCACATATAAGTTTTACTCAAAACTTATAACTAAAACATAATCTCAATAAACCTTTAATAAAATATTAAGATATTGGCAAATATAACAACATAAATAAACTCGCTTTTTCTAAGACAACAATACAATTTTCCAAAAGAGAATAATTTGTATATTCTTTATCTACAAATAGAGTATATTTTTTCTTTATCATACAGAACATAACCTCCAAAAATACAATATAGATTAAGAATTATTTGTCTTTTTACTATAATAACAGGTGGAGATGATTGAGAGTGAAGATTCGTAATAGTGAGTAGGGGACTGATATTTAAGTCTCAGTTCGCAAAAAGTATTTTGTGTTTACGAGATATCAACCGGATTACCATGTAATGATGTTAGTAGTACCTCAGATGAGAGACATATAATAAAAAACCGTCCTCGTTTACCAACAATCGTTTTCAAAATTTCTGTATTCACATCATAAATATCTTAAAATCATAAATTTACAATATGCTCTTATCAAACATAACATTCAAAAAGGAGTTTTTTAGATGGTTGAAGATTGGTATTTTAAAAGCTTTCCATCGACTAAAACAGTTAAATTTGATTCATATGATTACACATCTTTTATTGTCGATATTATAAACGTTAGAAAGAGTCGCATGTGTTGTGATAGTTAGTGTTATTATTTTTTTTTTGTATAAAACATAAATACATTTTTGACAGATATAATAGTCACTGTATATACTATAGGTGATTGTGATATTAAGAGATTTAATACTATTAAAAAATATAAGTGAATATAATTAAGAATTATATAGTCTTGCAAAACACTTCGAACCACACTGAGTTAAATCAGAGAGTGAAAAAATTGATATTGACTGTGAAAGATGATGTACAACATAATTAGGTATGTCTGGATTGAGTCGTTTAGAGTATGTGTTTAGAGATAAAGGTTGTTGATTGTATTTGGGTGTAGATATTTTATATTAGAATAAAAAAGTAACCGATATATGTTAGTATTGGTATTTGGTTTTTTTCAATTGAGAGCACATCAGGTCTTTGGAAAATTATATGGATAGACGAGTTGTTATAGAAGTAAACACCAGTGATTGAATTTGAATGTGTGTGAGAGAGAGATTTGTTTGGAAAACTTGTTTGTTTACAGAGTTTTGAGAAATTTTTTTTGGAAAATTTGTTTGGTTTGATTAATTTTTAAAAACTTAGTTTGTAAGAAATTTTTCAACATTTTTTCAGAAAATACAAACCAACAAACCCAAAAAGTACGAAAAGTTGTTTGGTCTTGGTTTTTTTCAAAAGATTGCTTTGTTTGAAAATTATTTTGAGAGAGAGTTTTAGAAAAAGGTGATTGATTTTGGATGTGCTGTAGCAGAGAGATTTGTGAAAAACTTGTTGGTTTACAAGTTTTGAGAAATTTTAGAAAAATTTATTTGTTATGATTACTTTTAAAAATTTATTTGTAGAAAAAATTTCCCAATATTTTTTTAAAAAATACCAAACCAACGAAACCCAAATGTCTTTGATTCATCTTGTTGAAAGGAAGTCTATAATTTTTTTTGAATAATCTCTTTCTATTTAGTCATTATTTCTAAACTTTATAATCTCTCCAAAGTTCTCTTTGAAAATCACAAATAAATTATAAAAAAAAAATGTCCAAGAAAACAAACGAAACTGCTAGCAGTGTCATTTTCGTAATATTTCTTTCAAATAGCCATTGTCCTTTCTCTATCTTCTCAACTATATAGTCGACGACGATAGAATAAGGCGAGTACCTCAACTATTTCTCTCTCATTTCTGTTCAAATTGTCGACTCAAAATATTTCTTCAGCTTAGGTTCTTCTCTTTCTCTCTCTCTCCTCTCTCGCTCTCTTATCTTCTTCTTTGCGCCTATGATCATAGTATATTGACATTTTTTTAATTTTTTTTTTTCAGAGTGCATGGAATAATTCTTCAAATTGAACCCAGGAAGCCTCCGATTTTCGTACCGAACGGCGTACCGGCGGTGGAGGACTCTCGACGAGTGGTGGTTCCTCGTCCACTCCTCCCTTGGTTTCGCGACTACTTGGCTTCGGGAACGACTTTCATGATCCCGCAAATTGATGCCCTCCTTTTCCGCGCAAATTACGACGCTGTCCTCTCCCGACCTCGACTTTTATCTTGTACTTCTCCGAATCATTCAAACAACAGTAAGTCCTCCGACTCCGCGATCCAAACTCCTTCAACAATGGTTTTTCCTCTTTATTCCCTAATTGATGTATATAGTAATTAGATTATGTGTATGTCATGTATTTATTGCAGAGAGGAGGAGGAGAGAGATTAATGTCCAAGGATTTTGTTTCGGTGGGAGCGTTGAAGTCGCGTAACAATGGGCGGGTCTGTTTGGCGAGACGCCGATGGTACAGCCAGAAGGCTCCGAAGAATCGCTATATGTGAAAGTGAAGTCCGAGGACGAGTTCAGCAAAGCCGAGGTAAAGCGGCTCACTAAGTTCGAGGAAAGACCATCGAGTTAGGGTTTTTCAATCAATTTCAATTCCAATCTTAACCTTGTTTTTTTTTTTTAAACAAAAATTGCTTGTAATTGCTTTGTACATAAAATGAACTCTTTATTAGTGTCGGTCTATTCTTTTAAATTTTCGATTGTCATGAATAATAAAATTACTACATTAAACAAAACAAAAAGAACCGTTTCACCCAACTCATCTTGATTCTGAAATAGTAGAAGACTGGTTAATTTATTACTTGTTTTATTACAAAGCAGCTAGCGTTCCCCAAATCTTTTAATACTTTGATCTGTTTCTAATCTTGCATGGCCTTTCTGTATTTTCTGCATGATAGTAAAGTGTAATAGTGTTCATTTATCATTTTAAGTCAAAAGTGGATGGAATTGGTTTAATATTACTGTTAAATTTTAAATAAAAAATTGATATATAGCAGAGGCACTAGTGCTAATTTGGAGAACAATTGTACAGCCTCGTTTGCA